TTTAATGCATCAAATCTGTTCTTCAGATGATCTCTAAATTCAGGTGGGATAAATTCAAGGTCATATTTTGGCTTTCTTAGACTTGTTTTCATTTTCTTCAGTTTCAGTTTGAATTTGCATATCAGTAATTGATGGTCTGTTAGAGGCTAGACACGTGTTAATTTGAATGAAGGGGAAAGCAATAAGAGGACGGTTGGCAAAAAAAATGGAGGCAGGGGAAGACATGAGGAGGAGTGCAAGAGGTAAAGGCAACAGATAAATACTGCTATATACACTCTTGCAATCACAGTGACGTACAGGTAGATACATGACACACAGGCTGAGAGGGTGTGAGAAGGAGAGTGAGAGTTTACCCACAAATAAATAAATAAATAGATTGGACAGAGGATATTTGATTATAGATATTTATTTTTATTACAAATTTATTCATAAATGTGGTGGAACATGTTGTTATTACGTGCCATTGAGTTGGTTCTGACTCGTAGTGACCCTTTATAGGATTTCCAATGAACAACTGGTGGGTTTGAATGGCCAACATTGTGGTTAGCAGTCCAGTGCTTATCCTCAGCACCATTGTTGCTGTAAAGTGCCATCAAGTCAGTTGTGACTCATAGTGACCCTATATAGGGTTTCTAGGGAGCAGCTGATGGGTTTGAACCACCAATGTTTTGGTTAGCAGTCTAATGTTTATCCTATAGCACCACATCAACATCTAAGACATAACCAAACACCTTGAGGGAACCAGTTGCTGGGCCTTGGGGCTCAGGGACATAGTCTCGGGGGACATCCAGGCCAATTGTCAAAGCATAGTATACAAATACAGTGTTCTGTATCCCTGGTGAGTAGGGACTGGAGCTCTTAAAAGCTTTTGAGCAGTCATCTAAGTTGCAATTGTTGTGTCCCTATCTGGAGGAAAGAATAGTGATGAAAAGCAAAGACACATGGAAAAATTGTGTCCAGTGGATTTATGGACCATGGGAACATCAGTCTCCATGACCCTTAGACCAGAAGAACTAAATGGTGCCCATTTACCACTACCAACTGCTCTGAAAGGGATTACTTAAGAAGGTCCTGGATAGAGTGGGCTTAAATGTGTAACAAAATTCAAAATCATAAAAAAGATCAGGCTTACTGTTCATATAAGGAGCTCTGGTAGCGTAGTGGCTACGAATCGGGCTGCGAACCGCAAGGTCAGCAGTTAGAAACTACCAGCTCTTCCACGGGAGAAAGATGAGGCTTTCTGCTCCCGTAAAGATTTACAGACTCAGAAACCCTGTACAGGGTTGCTATGAGTCAGAATTGAGTCCACGGCACACAACAACAACAACTGTTCATATAAAGACTGATGGAATCTTGGTCACCTTCAGATCTGGAACTGAACTTACCCTTGTAACCCAAGCAATTGATAGATCTATGGGGGAACAACAACATTAGTGAGGTATACACACCATAGACTGGTCAACCATTTGTGATCAAAGGGGCAACATTTACCCAAGGCTAAAATTCAGAGACCAGGTGTTCTCTGAATTTCTGTGCATTCATGTGCTGGACTGCAAAATCGATTTGTACTGCAAGGTCGGAAACTCTGTACTATGGAATGGAACCGACTCAAGGACAGTTAACAACAAAGTTCAGAAGCTTTAGAAAAGGAGGAGGAATGGAAACAAGAAACATAGGGAAGAAGTGGGATGAATAATGTTCCATTGAAGAGACTGCAACCAATGAGAGGAAACAAAGTGTGTATGATTTGTTAATGTCAAACTGATGCGCTGCTCTGTAAACCTTGACCTAATTCACAACAACAAAAAAAGAGAAACAGTGAACCAAAATAAATAATAAAATGATAAATTTTGTGTTATGTACATTTTAACCACATTTTTAAAATGTGGAAATATCCATGATAGGCAAATCAGTAGAGACAGAAGTAAATTAAGGGTTGCTAGGAGATAGAGGAATGGGAACAGGGTTTGTTAACGGTAATGGTTGTAAAATTTAGTGACTATACTAAAAAACACTGAATTGTATACTTTAAAATTGTGAATTATATCTCAAAAAATAAATGCATAAAGCAGTTTCAAGATTGAGGTTTCAGGACCTAAAGCCAGAGACTCCTCTAAGAGAAGTAAAATTAAGATCAGAGCAGGGGCTTGTAGCCTAAGGGAGGATCGCTGAAGACCAAGGAAGAAAATGCCTCCCTAATCCTAGGAACCATGAGCCAAGGAGAACCTTGGAGAGCCAGGAGATCTTCAAACTAGGTATTCGGTACAACACAGAGGCAGAGAGGTTGCCCAGGCCCAGGGTCTGAGAGGAGAAATGATCTGGAGACATAGTCTAGGAGTGACTAGAAGGAAGCATTAACGGTCAGCCTTCAGGGTAAATTCTAGGCTGTTTGGTATAAGAGTCAGGCTTAAGAGAACTGGGTAGCACTCACTCCATATCAGCTGAATAAGCCAGCCTTCTTCTCCAATGGCACTTCTATGTCCTCCTTTCCCTGACTTCCGCTCCAGCCCCTAATTGCCCCTTGTCTGTGTACCTCTAACATCCTGTATTTACCTGTATTCTTACCCTTACATTAGACTGACATTTTCTTTTATGTTTGTCTCCTCTGCTAGGAATAGGAACCCTAGTACCTAACACAGGATCTGATATATGGCAAGAACTCAGTAAACTTGTTGAGACAAGGAAGAATTTAAGAAACTATAGAAATATTTCATTTGGGACAGAAAGATATAGTCATACATTTTAAAAGATTTTTCATAATATGGTAACACACTTACACTTAATTTTGTAACACGTGTGATGCTGTAGGATGAGCACTGGACTGTTTACCACAAGGTCAACAGTTCAAACCCATGAGCTGCTCTCTGGGAACCTTTATAGGGTTTGATGGACTCAAGTGTGGCAACAGTAATGAGGTTGGCCCAGGATCGGGCAGTGTTTCATTCTGCTGTGCATAAGGTTGCTATAAGTCGGTACCGACTCGATGACACCTAACAACAACAACAACATGAGTAGAAACTGACATAATGGCACTTAACAACATATGTTTTGATGTGATAATTTTGTCATGTATTGTTACCAAGAGTCACTGGGTAATACAAGTGGCTAATGTGCTTGGCGGCTAATCAAAAGGTTAGAAGTTGAATCCACCCAGAGGCATCTAGGAAGACAGGGCTGGTGATCTTCAAAAATCCATCACTGAAAACACTATGACACACAGTTTTACTCTAACACAAATGGGTTCACCATGAGTTGAAGTCGAGTCAATGGCAACTGATTTATCAGGCCTACTCTTACTAAATTCTAAGTCCCTTGAAGTCACATCTCTGTCATACTCATCTTTTTGCCACCCCACAGCATCTAACACACTGTCATCTATGCAAGTAGTTGTTCAGTAATGATTTGTTAATTTACATTTAATTAGTATTATCAATGACTGACTTAGAAAATGCCTCAGCTAGCTTAAGGCAGGGTGCTGGAATTGACTTATGAGGCAGGGCTAGGTTTCTGTGGTTGGCAATAAACCACAGGCCTTCTCGTGGTCTTTGGAGACATAGTCTAGGAATTATTAGAAATTTTTAGAATATTAAGGGTAGAGAACTCCTAAGGAGTTTCTTATCCTGTTGCTTGCAATTGTCTATTTTTTTTTTTTTTTGGGGGGGGGGTGATGTTTACCTGTTTTATTGACTATGCCAAAGCATTCAACTATTTGGATCAAAATAAATTATGAATAACATTAAGAAGAATTGGAATTCCAGAACACTTAATTGTGCCAATATAGAACCTATACATAGACCAAGAGGCAGTCATTCAAACAAAACAATAGGATACTCTGTGGTTTAAAGTATTCAATCCAGTGGCATTTAGTACATTCAGACATTTTTATCATCCAAAAAGGAAACCTCATACCATTAAACAATCTCTCTCCTCTCACCAAGTCCCTGGAAACCACTAATCTACTTCCTCTATCTATGAATCTTACTATTTGGAATATTTCATATAAATGTTGTTGTTGTTAGGTCCTGTTGGGTCAGTTCTAACTCCTAGAGACACTATGCACAACACTGCTCGGTCCTTTGCTATGAAACGATATACAATAGAATGAATGTAAAACTAAAGTTCTCTCATGTAAACTATCATATAATTCACAATACAACATTAAAAAAAAAAGAAATAAAACAATGTATTGCATTAGGCAAATCTACTACACAAGACCTCTTTAAAGTGTTCAAGAGCAAAGATATCAGTATAAGGTGTGCCTGACCCAAGTCATGGTATTTTCAATAACCTTATATGCATCTGAAAGTTGGACAATGAATAAAGAAGACCTGAAAAGATTTGATGCATTTGAGTTATGGTGTTGGAGAAGAACATTAGAAGTACCATGGATTTCCAGGATGAACAAATAAATCTGTGTTGGAAGAAGTGCAGCCAGAATGCATCTTAGGAACCAGGATGGTGAGACTTCATCTCTTATACTTTGGACATGTTATCAAAAGGGATCAGTCCCTGGAGAAGGACATTATGCTTAGTAAATTGGTAAGTGAAAAAGAGGAAGACCCCCAACAAGATAGGTTGTCACAGTGCCAACAGCAATGGTCTCACATGTAACAATCATTGTGAACATAGCAATTGTCTATTTTTATTTCATGTTTTGATTCTTTGAGGAAAGGGACAAAACCTCATAAAGAGTTATCCTCACCAATAAAGTGTGAGACTCTAGAGAAGCCTTCACTAGTAGCCAGTGTTTCCGGCTAATCTACAAAGGAACACCCTGTCATCATTTCTCTTTCTCTTTTTTTTTCAGAACAAGATAGAAGGCTTCAAGCCAATAACAGGGAGTTCAACACTAAGTTTGGATATCCAGTAAGTATCAGGCATCGGGCTAGTCATGGGGGGAGGGAGGGCTGGTCCTCTTTGTTGGTAGAGTAAGTAATCTACTGGAAATATGGGTTCTACAGCATAGAACTTTCTATGAGGTCTGGTGTAGGAAGGATGTAGGAAGGACTCAGAAACCAAAATTAATCCATGTCTTCTTCTTCTTGTAAAGTGCCGTCAAGTTGATTCCGACCCATAGTGACCCTGTATAGGGTTTCCGAGGAGCAGCTGGTGAGCTTGAACTGCCGGCCTTGCAGTTCAAATGACTTTGCAGTCTTATGCATTAGCCCACAGCACCACACCAGGACTCCCTGTCTTAGATGTTGGGTTTTATAGCTGACTCCTAGAAAATAAATAATTCTAAAGGAATAGTGCAAAGAGAGCAGAAGTATGGCTTCACACAGAATACATGCAGCAACTTCAAATGTCACATGAATGTAGTTGTTATTAGGTGCTGTCGAGTTGGTACCAACTTGTAGCAACCTATGCGAAATAGAATGAAACACTGCGTGGTGTGGCACCAACCTCACAATCATTGCTACACTTGAGCCTAAGCTGCTACTACTATGCCAATCCATCTCATTGGGGGTCTTACTCTTTTTCTTTGACCCTCCACTTTACCAAACATGATATCCTTCTCCAGGGACTGGTCCCTCCTGATAATATGTCCTAAGAGTGAGAGATGAAGTCTGACCATCCTGACGTCTAAGGAGCATATGGCTGTACTTCTTCCAATACAGATTTGTTTGTTCTTTTTGCAGTCCATGGTACTTTTAATATTCTTCTCCAACACCATAGCTCAAAAGCAGCAATTCTTTTATGATCTTCCTTATTCATTGCCCAACTTTCACAGGAATATGAGGTTATTTGTCTTTTTCTTGTAGACACATTATAGTTTCCAATAAATTTTAGAGATTAGTCTCTTGTCTGATATGTCATTGCAAAAAATTTTTTTCTCAGTCCATGGGTTTCCTTTTTACTCTTTGATGAAATCTTTTGATGCACATAAATTTCTAATTTTTAGTATGTCCCAGTCATCTATTTTGTTGTCTATTGTTTTGTGTGTTTTTTTTGCCGTGTATGTCATATAATGTTGTTGTTGTTGTTAAGTGCCGTGGAGTCGGTTCCGACTCATAGCGACCCTGCACAGGGTTTCCGTGGCTGTAAATCTTTACGGGAGCAGAACTCTTCATCTTTCTCCCGCGGAACAGCTGGTAGTTTCGAACTGCTGACCTTGCGGTTCACAGCCCAATTTTGTCCCTATTTTTTCATTGATGATCTTTGTACATTTAGATCTTTAATCTATGCTAAGCTTACTATTGTATATGGTATGGGATAGGCATCTTGTTTAACCATGGTATTTTCAGTAACCTCATATGCATGTGAAAGTTGGATGGTGACTAAGGAAGACTGTAGAAGGATTGATGCATTCAAGTTATGGTGTTAAAAGTACCATGGTCTGCCAAAAGAACAAACAAATCTGTGTTGGAAGAAGTACAGCCAGAATGCTCCTTGGAAGCTAAGATGGCCAGACTTCATCTCTCATACTTTGGACATATTATCAGGAGGAGGAGGGACCAGTCCCTGGTAAAGGATATCATGTTTGGTAAAGTGGAGGGTCAGAGAAAAAGAGTAAGACCCCCAATGAGATAAATTAGCACAATGGCAGCAGTGATGGGTTCAAATGTAGCAATGATTGTGAGGTTGATGCCAGACTGGGCAGTGTTTCGTTCTGTTGTGCATAGGGTCGCTATGAATCATTACCAACTCGATGGCACCTAACCACAACAACAATGAGGAATAACTACTTCAGTAACATTACCTCTGGAAATATCTTTGTGTTTAAGTATCAGAGCCCATCTGGGCATAGACCCTGAGAAATTTAAAGTGTCTTATGATTAAGGATTCCTGGTGTGGCACTGTGGGTTAATGCCCCATACTGCAAAGCTGTTTGAACTGCAAGGTTAGCGGTTCAAGTTCACCAGCTGCTCCTCGGAAACCCTATACAGGGTCGCTATGGGTCAGAACCAACTCAATGGCACTTAACAACAACAACATGATTAAGGAAGACTAAGATAAGCACTGGACTGAACCAAAAGCTTAGCAGTTTGAGCCCCTCAGCCACTCAACATCAGAAAGATGAAGCTGTTTGCTCCTTCAAAGATTTACAGCCTCAGAAACCTTATACAGGGTCACTATGAGTCAGAACAAATTTGATGGTACTAAATCACAACAACTTCTATGTTAGAATACCATATTCTCAGGGCTAAAAGGACACCGATATATAGATCACTAAGTTAGAATTCTATAAGCACATATCTATGTGCTCTTCAGAAAGATCTTGTCTAATTCTTTTTCAGCCTGTACTAGTATAGCCTAGCATAAGGCTGTGAACAATGCAAGCCTTGAGAAACATATAATGCTTGATTGATTATCAGTTGATGAACAGGCATAGAGAAACACCCAGAAAATCTTGGCTTTAGCTTGGATCTCTGAATTCTTAAGAGCTATAGCTATTTTACTAGCTTCTCTTCCCTAAAATAGATCTTGGGCAAGGTTTAGCTGATTTAATTTCCTAGTTAAGGACCCAAGATTAAAGTTTTGGCTTAAGACTGAACGGTTTATGGTTCTTTAAGAGAAGGACTTTGATGTCCTCCAAAGGTAGGGTCCAGCAAGATTCTTGAAGTTTAAGCATTATCTTTACTTGAGGGTCTCCAGTAAAGTATCTTTACTTTTTGGAGTGAAGGGGAGTCAGAGAGAAGACCTATCTTTAGGGAATTATTTAGTCTCATTATTCTACTTTACTGAAACTCTTATGCTGAGGCTCTGATGTTGTTGCTCAGTGCTGTCGGATCGATTCCTACTATAGGTCATAGTGACCCTGTATAGAGTTTCTGCGGAGTATCTGGTAAGCTTGAACCACTGACCTTTCAGCTCCACAGAATAAAAGACCTGGCACTGTGCTCTTGTAGAGATCAGAGCCTAGGAAACCCTATGGCACAGTTCTGCCCTATCCTATAGGGTCACTATGGGTTGCAATCTGCTTGATGGCACACAACAACAGTAGCAGAGCTGAGCAAAATAGCTACATTTAGGACTGAAAACGACCTTAGAGACCAGAGGGTGAGAAGGATTTCTAGTTCTAAGAAAGGTAAGCATTTGGATGACTGTACATCTGAGCTGGCATTTAGGTACTATACAGTCCCAGCTCTGTGATTAGCAGACCCTTCTAGGCCTTGGAAAAAAGCAGGGAAGCAGACACGTCTCTCCTCTCTCCCCAGTTGGGTGGAGAGGACATTCAGGTGGCTTTTTTCCATTTTACTGAGTAGGCTCCGTCCTCTTTGTTAAGACTGAAGGTAGTTACCAACCCAGTTTTGAGTTGTTTTTCATTACTCTTATTGTATTTGTTTTCTTTTCCTCACAGAGCAATACCATCAAGACCTCAAAATACAGTTTGCTGAACTTCCTGCCCATGAACCTATTTGAACAGTTTCAGAGACTTGCAAATGCATATTTTCTCATTTTGCTATGCCTACAGGTATTATCTTTTGGGATCTTCTTCATAGAATATTTGATTAGCCTCTCTAGGGTCAGATTGTATAACCAGTCCTTCTTCCTCCCTAAACTTAGAGATGTCTTTCCTCTTTAGACAATAGGCAAATAATGGCTGGAGTCTCAGGCCAGTCAGTCCCCTAGAGTAACTGTGGTCAGGATTGGTCAGTGTGAAACAGGCCTCTATAAGAGGAAGGAGATAAAGCTACCGAGCCCCAAAGAAGGGGAGTTTCCTCATCAAGGCTGCCTGGCCACAGTTCAGCTTGACCATAAGAGGCCACAGACTCTTCACTCTAACCTTAACTGTAATCCTGTCTGATACTGTCAGCACCCACTGACTCCTGCATCTTGTCCAAGCCTTAACATACAGGAATGCAAAGAAGGCAGAAGATAGGTGTGCATATGTGTGCCAGCACAAGGCAAGGAAGTAGGGCAGGGGAAGCCCAAATTGAGAGAAAGGGACATACTGTTTCACTTCTCTTGTGCTGAAGGGAAGGAGTATATATGATTTTCTCATGTCCACTGTTAATCCTCCTACCCCCAGCACCTTTCATTGTCAGGAGAGCTCTGGCCCTTTGCCATCAAGACAAAAGCAATGGAGCTCAGGACAGATAGGTGGCAATTTAACTTCCTTTCTTCCTCCACTGAGAAAATGTTTATTTATATATACAACTAGGATAATTGAGTTTATTATGAATCTTTGGAGGTGAAAATCAGAGTGGGGTAGGGGTGTAAGTGGTAATGTATTAGCCTTTCTTTAAGTTTTCTGGCCCCAAATTCTCTTTCTTTTTCTCTAACAGTTGATTCCCCAGATCTCTTCCTTGGCATGGTACTCAACTGTGATACCCCTGATGGTGGTGCTGTCCATCACAGGAGTGAAAGATGCCATCGATGACCTGGTGAAGTAGCTCCCTGGGCCTCTAGTCCCTCAGTGTACCTAGTTAGACTGTGGGGCAAGAAGGACTTCCCAGAAGTGCTGAATGGAAAGATAGTTCCCTTCCTTGGTTCTTGATCTATCCCCGATGAATATGTACACTATGCATGACTAGAAAAGACAATGCAAAGCCTTCTCTGCCTTCCTACCACCAACACTTTTAACCCCATTTCCAGGCAGCCTTTCATCTCTTCTTTAACAGTACACCTTTTCCTTTCCTTTACTCTTCTCTTAACTTTCTCCAGTTCTGTTCTCATGCTTCTCCTCGCTTTTTCTCATTCTTATCTCCAGCTTCTCTCCCTCCCTCCTCCTTCCACCAGTCCTCCTTTTTTTTTTTCCCTTCCCTTTTCACATTCATTTTCCTCCCTTTCCAACATTCAATTCTATTATATGTGTACATCTAGGAACCCTCTGGTTTTATAAAGTCTATTGGCATATGAAGAGGTCGACTCCTTTTTTTGGCCAATGAGGGAGAAACTGGCTTTCAATGAGTACTACATGGCTTCCTCTTTTCTCCATACAGCAGAACTGACATAGAAGGGTGAGGCTGAGGACCCAGTACCATCCACAAATGGGATTTTGGGATGCAGTTTTGTTGATTTGCTGACTTCCCTAAGACAGTTTTTCTGATTTTACCAGGATAGATTTATAGACCAAAGTTTGAAAGCAGGATATTTCACCAGCCCTTTAACTTTGTAACTTTATAACCAGAATTAACACATGTAGTGATTCAAATTTCAGTCACAATTCAGATGTACGAAAAATATAACATTCTCTAAAACTGAACTCAATTTAATTCATAAACACCTCCTTACTCCCAACCTCTTTCCAATTTAGGGTAACCCAGTTACTTCTAGTTTAGAACTCAGTCGCTTTAGGATGTTGTTGTTGTTAAGTGCCATGGAGTCGATTCCGACTCACAGTGACCCAGTATAGGGTTCCCAAGGAGCAGCGGGTGAGCTTGAACTACCAACCTTGCAGTTCAAATGACTTTGCAGTCTGACACATTAGGCCACAGCACCACACTGAAATAATCAGGATTCTTCCTATCCCCTTCCCACTTCTACCCTTTCCCCCCCCTGCCCCCCCCCCAAGTAATCTCAATTGAAAGAAGGGGATAGCTATGAATTGTAACCTTAGGACATGCCCTGTATTTGTTTCCCTTCTATTTAGTTTTTGTTTATTAGCTTCTTTCCTCACTGCATCCACTGTGGAAAATTTTGTATGTTGACCACAACTAGGGTGGGTTTGGGGATATACTTGAAAATATTTGATTTCCCTACATGTACCAACTTATATGGAACTTTGTGAATACCATTAACATGTATTCTCTCCTCTATGGATTTGGCCTCAACTGTTCTCCTCCCCCTGGCTTTAAATTTTTATATTCAAAGCCAGAATTTTGTCTTTTTCTTTTCCCAGAGGTCTTTTTTCTGACCTCCCTGCCTAACTCCCCAGAGGAAATCAACTTTTAATGCTAGAAAGGCTTCATGGGGGAGGTGGGAAATTTCCTGAACATTTTCTTTTGTAATTTTAGAAACGACACCGAAGTGACAAGCAAGTAAACAACCGTCCTGTTCTGCTGTTGGTAAATGGAAAGTAAGTCTCCCCAAAGAAGCCATTTAGGTAGGCCCATCTCTGGGAGAAGGCTGCCTTGCTAAAGCCTGATGTTCTGGGTAGTTTGGAAAGATACTTCCCAAACCCAGCCAAACCTACTGCCATCAAGTAGACTCCAACTTATAGTGACCTCATAGGACAGGGAAGAGCTACTCTATAGAGTTTCCAAGGCTGTGAGTCTTTACAGAAACAGACTGCCACATCTTTCACCCCTGAAGTGACTGGTGGTTCCAACCACTGACCTTTCACTTAGCAGCTAAGTGCTTAATCACTACATCACCAGGGCTGCCTGAGGGCTGCTCCAGGGCAGGGAAAAGAACCTCAAAGTGAACATAAAAAAGAACTTGTTTATAGATTTTGTTGTTGTAGTTAAGTGCTGTTGAGTCAGTTCCAACTCATAGTGACCCTATATAGGTTTCTGAGGAGCATGCCCTAAACTTGCTATGTGACCTGATACTCTGGGCTTTATTTTTTTTTCTTATCTATAAAGTGCAAATGATATTTCATACCCTAGAGCATGCTTGTGATAATAAAAATAAAATATGTTGAATCAATTAATAAATTATAAAATATTATAAACAAGTTGTTGTTGTTAAGTGCTGTCAAGTGGATTCTGACTCATAGCAACCCTGCATAGAGTTTCCAGGGAGCTGCTGGTGGGTTTCAACTGCCAATCTCGCAGTTAGCAGTGCAGTGCTTATCCTAAAGTGCCACACCAGAATTCCATTAACATGTTATTGCTAAGTACCATTGTGAAAAAGAACTCTTGTGGGCGTGGTCCATCTTAAGGCATTCTTGAGATTGCTAGACCAGGCAAACAGATTGTTGATTTAAATCCAGGGATATGTAAGCAGGCTGTTCTAGGACTAGGAAATATAAATAAATAAGAATACAATCATTAAGACTGTGGGCAAGCCAATTTGGCTTCTCTTGGGGGAGGGAAAATGGGACATTCAATAGAATTGTATATGGGGAACTGGAACTGGAGGAGGGACTTTTTGGAGATGAGAATAAAAACTGTGGTGGGCCATGTGGTGCGTTGGCCGGTGTCTACTGGGTTGGGCGCCCAATTTTTCAAAATTGAATAAAGAAAACCTCACTTTCACGAAAATGAATACAGATCGGATTACTTGAGCATTTGTCAGTATGGACAACGTTTCTCACACTGTCAAGTTGGTTCCAAATCATAGAGACCCTGTATAGGTGGGTTTGAACTGCTGGTATTGTGGTTAGCTGTACAAAGCTTATCCTACAGCATTACACCAGCACTCCATTAATATGTTGTTGTTGTTGTTGTCATTGTGGTTAAGTGCCATCAAGTCAGTTCTGACTCATAATGACCCTATATAGGATTTTCAAGAGTAGATGGTAAATTTGAACTGCTGACCTTGTAGTTCAAACTGACGTTGAAGTCCAGTACATTATCTCACAGCACAACACCAGGACTCTCCATTAATACGTTGTTGTTGTTGTTGTTGTTAGGTGCCATAGAGTCAGTACCGACTCATGGCAACCCTATTCACAACAGAACGAAACACTGCCTGGTCCTGGGCCAACCTCACAATTGTTACTATGCTTGAGCCCATTGATGCTGCCACCTTGCAAATACATCTCACTGGAGTCTTCCTCTTTTTCTCTGACCCTCCACTTTATCAAACATGATATCCTTCTCTAACAACTGGTCCCTACTGACAATATATCCAAGTATGAGATATAAAGTTTGGCTGTCCTGGCTTCCAAGGAGCACTCTGGCTGCACTTCTTCCAACATAGATCTGTTGGTTCTTTTGGCAGCCCCTGGCACTTTCAATATTCTTCTCCAACACCATAACTCAAAAGCATCAATTCTTCCATGGTCTTCCTTATTCACTGTCTAGCTTTAGCATGCATATGAGGTTATTGAAAATACCATGGCTTGGGTCAGGTGCACCTTAGTCCTCAAGCTGACATCTTTGCTCTTCAACACTTTAAAA